GCTTCTGCAATCATACAACGTTTATTTTAGGTACCCACTTCCAATTGGGTCCTTTAACATTAGCTTGTTTTAGGTATGCTACATCATCCTTTGATTTGGCCTTAATTTTCTTGGAAGAAGAATTGCCAATTTGTCTATTATTCACCCCAGAACCATGACTCTTGGGGTGAGAGACTAAACAGGAAGAATGGTGAATGTGATTAGATAGAGAATGCATGATATTGAAACAATCACAGAAAGAGACAATACAAGAAACTTTCTTAAAATTTTCATTAAAAATGTCAAAGAAGGGTACAGAGTTTTATTTTTAGAGCCCTTTTTAGGTATGGGCTTCTCATTACAAGATTTCTTCCCTATTCTAGGCTCCATTTTGAAATCCTTTTTAAAACTCTTCTGTATTGATCCCCTCTTTGGTTTTCCTGCAATCACTAAGACAGAAGCATTTTTAGTTTGAGGCCATTTTCTCAATTGTTGCCAAGTATAAATCGGTCGTTGAGTAGTAGAGGAAGAGCATTGAGAGTCACTTTGTCTTTGATTTTCCTTCTTTCTTTTCTTAAGATCAATATTAGTTTCTACAACTTGTGTAGGCCTATCTTCATGATCTGAGGCATATTCATGCTTAGAAGTATCTTTTTCAGGGAGCTCTGTGACAAAAATCTTCTTATAAAGAGACTCATTTACAGAAGACTCTGTGATATGTTTTGAAAAAAATTCCAGAGCCTCTGAGGATAATTTTCTTTCAAGAGGCTGAATGGTACACTCAAAAGCACAGTCTACTTGAGTTTCTGGTTGTCTAAACTTAAAGATTCCAATCTGACTCTATCTCAAAAATCTCCTTGKAATGGAATCCTTCTTTTTAGAAGGTGAGAAAGAGTCAATGTAGTCTTCAAAAGCAACATTTTCCATTGTTAAACAAGTTTTTGTGTCTGGAGCAACCAACATCCGTCTTCTTTTGAAAATGGACTTAGTGTTAGGAATATTACTTTTAAGATTTTTAGAGGATCTAAAGGTACTCTCAAGAGTTTTGTTGGATTTAAAACTAGGTTTGTTATCAAATTTTGAGAAACCTAGATCTCTTCTGCCCATATTAACTTTTATCTTTTTGTAAACATTTTGAGCCTCTTGAAATTTTCTAATTTTGAGCCTCTTGAAATTTTCTAATTTTGAGCTCTCTGTCAAGAACGTCTTGGTGCAAAAATTCTCTTTCCTTTTGGAAGAATTCTTTGACAGAAGTAACATTACACTTCTCATGCTCCAACTTCCTTAACTCATCCACCTTGTTTTTCAAATCTTTTTGAACCTC